TTCCCTGACTGTGAATGTGAACATCTTCAGGTATCGGTATGTCATTTAGACCGGCAAATTCATTTGGAAATTGACTTTGCGGCGTCCTAGGCGATTCTCCATGATGTGGCACTGGCTCACATCCTGTATCGAACAAGCTCTCAACAAATGAACGTTGATCCATTTCTGTGATTATTTATGATGAAATCTTGACTAGATGAATATAAATGTAGTGAGATTGTGAGAATTGAGAATTGGATGATTGAAATTGTAACTAATAAACTGTAAAAATTGAATTGATATTGTATATTTTGCAGCACAAGAGAGTAAAAACTCGATAATTGATATAATAAAAGAGAGTTGAGAGAGTTGTAATTTTGAAAGAGCAATTGATATAAAAAAAAATATTTGGGGGAAGGGGGTATTTATAGTAAAAAAAGAGGGGGGGAGGGAAAATAAAAAAAATAAATAAAATTCAGTGACCAAACGGTCACTGAATAAAAGTTCAGTGACCAGAACAGTCATTGAAAAGTGACCAAAACGGTCACTTTTGTGACCGTTTTGGTCACGGGCTCGACGAGCCGCGGCTCGCCTCCCGGCGAGGCCCGCTCGGCTCGTGGTCAGGCTCGTGATTTCACGAACCCGAGAGCCGGCTCGACCCAATTGACATCCCTATGGCCACGTCAAGCCACCTACTAATCGTAAACGCAACAAAGCTGTTGGCATCGTGCATTTAAAGGTGAGTATAAACACTCAATTCAATTAATCATGAATGAAAAACAGCAATGCATTAATTGGGATGTGATTGAGGGTTCTTTGAAGGGGTAGAGGATGTGAGTGTACAGTGTACAGTGGAAGAGAGAGTGAAAGTGGGGGCTTGTCTTTATATTGCTGTGGTACAATAAAGAATTTCCTTCTACTGGGAAAGAATTGAGCCAGTAAAAATTACTATGGTTGTTACCATTTGATGGCCAGAAAACTCTCTCTCATCTCTCTCATATATCTCTTTCTCTGTGTGCTGTCAGGCACTAAATAGCTTTGAAGAAGAAACCATTTGTTTAGTGGGAAAATTGCAACAGAGGTAGGGTAGGGTGGGATGAGGTAGGGGGAGGAAGAAGATGAATAGTAGTTTCTTTTATTTTTATTTTGTATATTAGTTTATTTATTTTATTATAGAATTAAATAGCAAATTTACCTTTATACCCTTTTAAGTTGGTCAAAATTCAATTTTATTGGTCAACTAACGGTTAAACGGACGGTTTCCATCCATTTAGACTCTCGGTGCATATTTTTGAAAGGTTTGGGACCGTGAGTGGTACAAACTAAAAGTTTTGACAAAGTCTGCTAATAAACGAAAGGTTTGATACCTTGACTGCAATTTTCCCCAAAATAAATGAGGCTCAACCACTCAGACAAGAACGGAATATATCACATTTTAATCATATTAAGCTCTCGTTTGTTTTTCATTTTTGAAAAAATGAGAATGAAAAATATAGTCGTTACGGCCCCACACAAGAGATAGAAATTCAAATTTGGTTGCTTGATGTGATGAATAACGATCATATTTTTCATTTTAATGAGAAAATAATGAGAACAAAAGAGGGGCTAAAACTTTTATTCATTATTATACTTATATCCTTAATTTTTTATCACATTTTTATTTATCAAAAAATCTTGTCCGTATCATATGATTTAATCAAAAAATATTGTTAATTTACTTTAAAATGAATGTCAAATATTTAATTGTATTTTTTTATTTTATTTATTTAAATATATATAAGTTTTTTAAATTCTATTTTTAAAAAATTCGAATATAATTCATAATTAGAAACTGTTTATTTGAGAATAATAATCTTATATACTTTTTAATGTAATTTTATTAAAAATTGTGGGTCCAATGTATTCAGCTTTCTACCTTTCTAAGATCAAACCATTCGTGATTCTCCACCACCTTCGTTATCGTACAATTTATCCTAAAGATTCTGATCCTCCCACATTTTACCCAAGGGTTATGAGAGTACCCGCACCGGAAGCCCTAAAATCGGAACTTTGTGAACGAATGGACTCGCAGACGAGCCGGAGCGGGTCATCAACGTCCTCCGGGCGGACCTCTGTGATCGATTCTTTACGCGGGTGCACTTTGGCCGGCGTGCGGATCCCCAAGGAGGAGTTGAGGAAAAAATTAACGCTGCCTGAATACATGAGACTGGCGATGAAGGAGGCCGTCCAGGCTAAGAACGTCGAAGCCAATACAATGACTCAGCTCTACCAGGCGGCTCACTCGGATGGAGCCGAGCCACCGGAGCTGCCTGAGTCGCCATTGGTTGTTTTTATTAATTCCAAGAGCGGCGGGCGCCATGGCCCCGAACTAAAAGCCCGACTTCAAGCTCTCATGGGCGAAGAGCAGGTCATTTAAATACTTGTGTGTATTTTGTCTCTGTGCTATGCTCACGTGTATATTTAAAGAACATGTAGATGATCATTTATTGCTGTTTGAAATTTTATGCGGCTGTAAATTTTTAGTTTTTTTTTTGGGGGACTGTGTCTGTACCCATAGTACACTGTACACCTTATGAATTTCTGCGTCGGTGAGAGTTTCTTAATCCAATTCTTTTCTTTTACCCATTTTTTTGTACGGATTGGTGGGTTCCCTCCGCCGACTTCAAACTCTCATGGGCGAAGAGCAGGTCATTTAAATACTTGTGTGTATTTTGTCTCTGTGCTATGCTCACGTGTATATTTAAAGAACATGTAGATGATCATTTATTGCTGTTTGAAATTTTATGCCGCTGTAAATTTTTAGTTTTTTTTTTGGGGGACTGTGTCTGTACCCATAGTACACTGTACACCGTATGAATTTCTGCGTCGGTGAGAGTTTCTTAATCCAATTCTTTTCTTTTACCCATTTTTTTGTACGGATTGGTGGGTTCCCTCCTGAGCTGGGCAAGGGAAATTCAAAATTAGGGTTTTAAAGAGTAAATTCAGGGTTGTTTTTGTTTTTTTTTCCACATAGTTTAATTATGGTCACTATGAATTTTTTGGAAAACAAAACAACTGTAGAAAGATTTTATAATTCTTTTTTTGCAGTGGTGTAAACGTATTCGTGGTATGAATATTTCACTGAAGGGTAACCTATAATCACACAAATTGAAGTAACATAAAGGATTTGACATTTTGCCATATAATTGCAGCGATTTTTCTTAATAGAGTGGAGACTAGAGTCAGACAAATACAATTCATGTAGCCAACCTGGATGAGGATGTGCTAGGGCTTTGATAGCTTGTTTTAAAGGAATCTGTCAATAAAACCATCTTTTTTTCTGGACAAGCTCTAATTCAATTTTAAGGTAAAAAAAAAAATGAGTGTGCGTGCATTTTTTTTTTTATTAGTTTTTCTCTTTTATTCTCTCAATTTCTCTCTAGTTTATGACTCATATCATTTAAAATTTTGAATTATTAGAGAAATATGTTTCAAATACTTGACACCACAAAAAAAAAAAAAAAAATAGAAACAAAGAAGGGGAATCCTAAGGAGGAAAACTACTTGGTATTGGAGTAGTGCTGCTAATATTTGTCTCGATCTCTATTATTCCATTGGATGTTTCATTTACTTGAATCAGGGTTTATTCTGATCAGTTATGTTGTCCCATCTAGAAACTTGTGATTAGCTTACTTGTTCTTTCATTGGAAGCACTTGAATAGGTTTTAGGAAACTTATTGGGTAATTGAATTTCTTTACTCTCAAGCACTGAGAATGATGTTAGATTTTGGAAGGTCAGGTTTACGCTCCCCTTCCCTTCCTCGTGGGTTTTGTTTTTATATGTACGGTTGAGGAATCCAAATCCCATCAGCATTCCTTGGCGGCGCTTGAAAATCCGCTAAGGTTGTGCTGGTGTTTTGCGTAAAAAAAAAAAAAAAAAAAAAAAAAAAAAAATTTAATTTTTGGTTTCCTCCC